GTTGGCTAAGAGCAAATGGCCCAAGTGATGCTGTTTGCACAGCTTACATTGGACTAACCTCACACACAAGGGCAGTTTCAGCAGTCAGAATCTTCTAGCTTGACTCAAACCACAGAAATACTCATGTCACATTTCTCACTCCAAGAATCTCACTTGTGGAAATTACTGTCTCAGTCCTTATACAAATGAAAAAAATTACAAACATGCACCAGTGAAGTATTTATTGTAGGGGACAAACAGTGCAGCCTCACTGCTCTGAGCTGCAGGCTGTGTTTGCACAGGGTTTTCACAAGTCCCTGAGAGCAGAGGATGAGGACATCCAGCTCCAGTTTGATTTGGACTTCCTGTTTTACAAAGCAGAAAACCAAACACTTGAGTCTCCTAGAGCTGCAGCAGAAGTTACAGTCTTTTTATTTACAGAGAGATGATGTTTTGGTAGATTTTGCAAATGCTTTAGGACTGTATCGTTTGTCTCTGCTTGTTTGCTCAAAGAGCCTGGGACTCTTTTTAGACCAGACTCATGGATGTCTTTAAGGTGAGTTCAACACAGTGCAAATCCTGGCTCTGCTCACAGGTACAGCCACAGGGCTCTCCCCACTGCTCCACTGTTTGCAAGTGATGGTGCTGTGCCAGAATGTGGGTGTTAAATCAGGACACCCTGGACACTGCTCACAGTCCTCCAGGATCTTTCCTGGTGGCTCACATTATCCTGGAAATGCCTGCAAATGTGTGCAGTTGTGAGCTTAAAAGTTTAAGTAATGTGGTGCTTGCATAGCCCCTGGCAATGCAGAAGCAATATATTTAACAAAGTATGTAAGTACATACGAATAATTAGCACACAGTTGACATCTCTGGCCCTGGAAGGAGCCATTGTGTCTGGAAGGTTGTGCTTTAGGTGTAGGAAAACATTGAGATTTATAGCAAGTCCCAGCAGATTGCTGAGATTGAATGAGCCTTATTTGTACCCATCAGATCAGTTAACACACTACATCTAATAGGAAAG